GTGGACGTGCCCGCGTTGCAGCCGCGCCAAGCCAGTGCGCAAGCGGGGCTTGATCCTCAAGCTCACCAAGCCCTTGGACCACGCCATGCTGATTCTGTGCGACAACTGCGACGGCGAGTTTTCAATGCCGCACATTGGCCTCGATGCTGTGCCACGCGGCGCGTGGTTCTGCCGCCACTGCCGGCCGCAGATCACGGGGGCGTTGCCCGAGCCGTTGACCGACGACGACGACGACGACGACGATGGCGACAATGCGAGCTTGGGCAGCAAGAAGCGCCACGTCGGGTCCGAGTCGCCAAAGAAGAAGCGCCGGGTTTAGCCAAGATACACCCTCGCGTGTAATTTATTTGAACAAGAAAGCCGACCCAACGATTAGCTCTACGACTCTCCATTTGTCCATCGTCGACCAGGACACAAGACGCACGTGGCCGCAGAGCTATCGACGTGCTAGGACATCGCCGCTGTGTGGCCAAGGACCGATCGGGGGTCTCTCGAGCTCTAGACGCCAACACCTTGATGCTGGAAGGCTTCGCCCCTCCGATGGCACCAGGTCCATCTCGGTAGAATGCGAGTCGGGCTTCACGATTTCCTCACGTGAACGACTGGTCCACGTCATCACCAATGATGCATACAGAGCTCGCGTACAGTCACCGCTGGCTACTCGTCGTCGGCCAGCGCTGGATGCCCTGAACGCAAGAAACAATGCAAAAGTATCAAGAAAGTATCAAGGGTGTGCCTCCTCATTTCTCTGCATGTCTCGTCACATGAAGTACAGTAGACACCCTGTCCAACATGTAATACAAACACACATGTACAGACCATTTGTCCCACATGTACAAACACTCAGGATTGATTACATTCAGGTTCGCATACTACCAAAAGTCGACGGTCGTGCCGTGGGGTAGTGCGGCGATGGCTGCTTTGCACGCGTCGACGTCGGCGGCGGCTGCATCGACGACGGTATGCACGACGTCGAGTGCGCAGAACGGCCGCGCGGCGAGCGCAGTGACCAGCGCCAAGACGCCGTCCTTGCCCAGGGGGTTGGCGCGGAGCACGAGCGTGGCCCAGTGCGTCGTGGCTGCGTGGAGTCGGTCACTTAAAACGATTGCGCCAGCCGTGCCAATCTGGTTTTTGGCCAACGACACCACCCGCAGCGAGATTGGGAGCGACGTTGCGAGGGCCATCGCGCCCTTGTCGCCAAACGGTTGGTGCCTCAGATACACCTTGCGCAAATGGATCGCGTCGGCGAACGCGGGTGCAAGCGCCTCGACGTCGTCGTCGTTCAGATCGTTGCCGTCAAGCGTGAGCGTGAGGCAAGGTACAAGCATCGCAAGGTCCTTGCACGCGTCGCGTGAGAGCGGTATATACTTGAGACACAAGTGGCGAAGACGGTCGGTCGATGGAAAGGCCCGAAGCGGCGATGTCGTCGGCGCGCCGACAAGCGAGAAGATGCGCAGGTGGGGCGTGGTTGTGACGGCGCCTCGTACGAGCTGTGTCGCATCGATCGAAGCATCGTCGGTGTGGACGACAAGACGAACCAAGTGCGGCGGCAAGGCAGGACGTGATTCCTGCAGAAGCAATCTTGTTACGGCGCAGTGCACGAGCTGCAACGACCGGAGCTGCGGTGCGCCGAAGATGGCCGTCGCGAGCTCGTTCGTCGCGTCGTCTGTAGTAATGGCACCCGAGAGATTGAGGAGGTGCAAGCTGCGCAGCCCCGGGCGCGCTGCGATCCACGCCGCCAACGGGCGTGTGTCCCACACCGAGTCGGCATCCGCGTCCAGCGTGAGGGACTCGAGTGCGCTTGCGGCACATAGCGCATCCCAGAGCTCGGGCGCGGGCCGCCGAAGACAGTGCCGGAGGTGGAAATGGCGCAGGCGGCGCAGCGTCCGAAGGCCATCGCAGAGGCTCGAGATGCGGGCGTGGCACCACGTCGCGTCGCCCTCTTCGTCTTGCGCATGCGCCTTCTCGAGCAACAGCACGTGCAAGGACACGAGTTGCTCTGGCCAGTGGGCCACCGCCAAGTCGAACGCGTCCGGCTTCATGTGAAAGCTGCTGAGCGCGACAGCCGTCGTCGGGAGGAGCGGCCAGCTCACGGCCTGTGGCACATGCCGCACACGCACGAGCGGATACATGACCATGGCTTTGGCGAGGAGAACGCGCGCCTCGGGGTCTACGACGGCGTGCGGCGGCAAGGCGAGCGCGGGCCAGAGGTCGTCGGGCTCAAAGAAGGTCCCGCCGAGCTCGAGCAGGCTCGCGACCGGCTCGGTGAGGGCGTCGAGCGGCAGTGCATAGAGGAAGCGGAACAAGTCGGCTGCTGTCGGTATGAACTGCGCGACGTGCTGCAGTAGCTCGGGCGGGAGCGCGCAGTCGTCGAACGAGCTCGTGCGCGGCCGGCAGAGGAGGAGCCCCATGCCAAACTGGCCTGAAGAAAAAACACAGGGCAGATTTCGGTGTTATAACGCCACGTCATATGGCTGTTACTTGCACCCTTTTAGTGTGTTGCACACTATATTTTGTGCCGCATGACGTGGCAGCTTCGTGTGCTTGTACAGGCTCGCTTCGGCCTGTCGTTCCGAACCATGGCAACACATATTGACAGCATGAAGCATGCTACACTACATGTCTCATCGATCACCCAGCTCGGTTCGCGTCAAGGTCCACCCGCTACCGTCTTATAAACAGAACCGATTCAGTGAAAGCGAGACTCAATATTGCAATCTCAATCCAGAATGCTCAACGCGGTTGACTTTCATTACAACACATGACACGAGTTACATAGTCGGTCTCCTTTACGACGATCCCCTTAGCGGCGCGAGTACGCGATCTTGGCGATCAAGAGCGCCGCAAGACCGACAGGTACAAAGATACCCGCGAGGTACCCGCTGGGCGGGGCCTCGTCGCAGCCAGCACCGCCCGCGAGACGCATGCAGCGCGTCGACTCGAACATGGAGCTGAGGTTGCCCGTGATGGACGTGCAGAGCACTGCAAAGAGGATGAAGAAGATGGCGGCCGCGACCTTGGGCTGGCTCCCGCCGTTCTTCTTGAGCTCGGCGACCGCCGCCTTTTGGTTGGGCAGCAAGACGACGCAAAAGCATCCGAGGAGCACCGAGCCGTACGCGACAAAGTACGAGTACGCGACCTGGTCGCGCGTCTCGGGCGCGTCTTCCTTGATGAGCTTCTTGTTGTAATCGAGCGAGCCGTCAATGATGTTGGTGATCATCGAGCCAAAGGTACCCGGGAGGTTCGAGATCGTCGTCAAGAGACCGTACATGACGCCTTCGTTGCCCGACTCGGCGAGCTCGACAATGACGTACGTACCAACGACAAAGTTGATGCCGGTGGGGATGTTTTCAAGGACCGGCACGCCGAGGTAGAACCACTGGTTGCGGTACACGTCGTAGATCGTGCAAAACTGCGTGATGGCGTCAATGCCGTTGGCGATGAGGACCGTGACGACGAGCACGTAGCGCCAGTTCCAGTGCGTGCCGTACATGCCCGTGAGGTAGAGGATGACGGCAAAAATGATGTTGCCGACGACGCCCATGATGGCGCTATTGAGGTTCTCGACGCCGGCCCAGTACAAGGCGACATACGACCCCGCCGTCGAGCCGATGCTGCCGGTGAAAAAGTTAAAGAAAAAGTTGAAAATCAACACTTGCCACACTGCGCGCTTCTGGACGAGCGTCCAGAGCTGGTTGAAGTAGACGCTGAACTGGACGGCCTCGTGCTTCGTGTCCTTGATGAAGAACCACACGACCGGAATGTTGATGACGGACGGGATCGCCAAAATCCAAAAGTAACCGTTGACGCCAATGTCCCAGTCAAAGTCGCCGGCAAAGCGCTCCGAGTTGAGGCAAAAGCCGCAGATGGCACCAATGATGGCCGCAAACACGAAGCGCGTGCCGTAAATCATCGACTGGAGACGGCCACGCACCGCCAGCGGCTCGCGTTGCGCATACGTCAACATCAAACCGTCCTGCGCGACGTCGGCCATGACGTAGCAAAAGCCGCAGACCGTGCAGATGAGCGCAAACGTCGAGCCGTCCGACTGCGAGTTTTGCTCGCCCGCGGGCGTGACCGCGAGCACGACCAGCAAGATCGCGCACAGCGACCAGCCGAGGAGCATGTACGGCTTGCGGTGGTAGCCAAAGACGGGAAAGCAGTCGTTGAGCATGCCAAAGACGACCTTGAGCGACCAGCCGAGCGTCAAGAGCGCGGTCGCCGAGCTCAAGACGTTGGTCTCAAGCGCAAAGTACCCGGTCAGAATCGGGTACTTCATTACAGTGAAGCCGCCGTAGACGATACCGACCATCGCGTACTGGTAGATGATCGCGAGCACCTCAGGCGATGTGTACACGGGGGCGTCGCCGCCACGCAGCGCGCCTTCTTCGATCTCGCCGGGCGTCTTGGTCTCGCCATACTCGGCGCCGTCCGCGTGCTTGTCAAACGACGCAATGTACGAGACGCGCTCTGTCGTCAGCGGTTCCTTGTTGAGCATCGAGGACAAAGGGCAAATTGCAAACTGAGGCAAAGTGAGAGAGCGGTAAATCGAGGTTGTTGTCCGGATAGCCAGGACGACGACGACAACGACGGCACCTTGTGGTACTGGTCGCATAGGTGACCAAGCACTCACGTTTGTTTTGACACCGGGCAAGATAGTAGTACGTCAAGCAGATCGGCGTCAGAAGACGCAAGCACGGGTTCTGTATGATCAGATACCACGTGGTACGCTGGTAGCTCTGGTTGCAGGTCCAAACGAAACACGCGACATTGCTAAAAGTCAATAGGTGCTGTAAATATTATGTAATACCTCAACTCGACACGCATTCGAGCAAGCGGCGCTCGGACAGGTCTTCTATCGCAGCCACGATCTCAATATCTACCTCATTTCGACACCAACTACCATCTAGTCGAGTAACGACGCTGCGAAGCGGTAGAGTCGGTTGACGTTGAAGTGGTCAGGAGCAAATAGGCGGCCGACAGTACTTATTTTGCAGCGTCGAGTAATAGCACATCTCGTACGTATTCTTCTGCTCACTTGTTCACGACCGAGGTTTCGTTCAGTTGTTTGTCGTTCCTCTCGATGCAACGACGGAACGTTCTTTTTGAAGGGGTGCAACGGGTCCAAGGAGGGAACTGCTCAACGAGGCAGCTTGGAGCTGGTTGCAGAAGAGTGCACCAGAGGGAATATCGTCCAGTTTCGCATCGACATTAGTCTGCGCCCGGCGTTTCGAAATGGAAGTTCTCACTCACCATTTACAGGACTCGCGGGTTGATAAACTCCAGCGGTGGAACCGTACAAGGCCCATTGAATTGAAACAGGAGCATATCGTGGTGGTGAGCGGCCAGTTGTTGCGTTTACCCATTTGGAGACTTATTGAAGTACGACTCGGTGTCCGAATTCGGTGGCGTCCAAAACATATACTTGGGTATTGTATGGTATCGCAGGCGAATCTGGGTCGGCCAGCAGCTGTTGACCAAGGCAATGAAGGCAACGCCATGTTATTACCTTGTGATGGCATCCATGCGTATGAGCCCACAGATTCGAGGCCAGTGTCACTTGTGCTCTGTCGGCCGCTATTTTATATCTCTCCTTGTCAACGACAGCAATGCCACCGTCGAGCTTGGAGCTCTCTGCAACCGCACCCCAACGCGGCTGCCACCGCCAGCTCTCGCCTGAGCAAAACGAAATGAGTCGCCAACGGTCGCGCGTCTACTACGCCCAGCATAAGGCCAAGGTGCTCGCCAAGCTCAAGGCGCGATACGACCTTCATCGCGACCAAGAGCGCGCACGCCGACGAGCGCTCTACGCGCGCAACAAGGCCATTCGCACCATGTACTATCAGTCGTCGTCGCCAAGCCTCGTTCGTCTCGAGTCAGCGTCGAAAGCACTCTCTCGCGTTTGTCCTCAACTAGTGAGGGTGTTCGTTGTTTGTGTCGCTCTGTCGGGTTAGGGTAGGGGTAGGGTAACCGTCTCGCATCCTGCTGCATCCAATACTGAAGTAGACAACGTACTGCGATATACATTATGTGCTGGTATCGCTTCAGTGTCTATTCTACATTGATAGTTCGTCGTCACGTGTCAGAGAAGCGGCATGGCCGGGGGTGCTCCCCACTCCTGCGTCTTCCACCACGCGGGCTGCGGGAGGTGGCACCCCATCCTTGTCGGTCGTTGACAGCACACTTGAACGCGATCCGAGCTGTAGTCGAGCGGTGTCTCTCGCGTGTCATCGTCAAGACACAGGTATTGCACCGTGTGTGGCAGCGCGGCATCCAGAAGGCGCCAGCGCTGGTCGTCCCACGCCAGATTGTGCAGAGCAAGGCGCTGGAGACGACGACAGCGAGGCAATACAGGTGCGAGCCAGTGCACGAGTGCACGTTCGGCTATTGTTTCATTGCGCCAGCGGACGCGCAGTCGGAGTTCCTCGAGCTGACGCAGCTGCGGCAACACAATCGACAGTGTCATTGCCATCGCAGTCGACGCCTCGACAAACGTAAGGCTCACATGCGAGATCGCCGCCATGGTCGGCAAGACGGCAAGCACGTGAACGACCGCGTCGCTTGGAGCGTGGTGACGCGACGCTGTCTCGTCCCGCAGACTCAAGTGCGTGAGCCGTGCGCCGTGCAGCGCCCGTAGCAGCGGACCTGGGTCGTGCAATTCAAACGTCGCAATGTCCAGATGCCGCAAGCGCGTGGGCAGCGGTCGATGGAGCATCGCTTGCAGAATGCCCGTGCCGTACGATAGCTCGAGCGTGTGCAGTGTCGAGCACGTATGCAGCGCGTCCGCAATGGCCTGCGCCCGCGCCGGCTCGCGAACGTGTAAAAAGTTCAGGCGCAGCGTGCGCAGCGCAAGGCGCGTCACCGTGGCCACGAGCTGCGTCTCGAGAAACGTGTTGAAGAGCGGGTCGCCTGCGTTGGCAATGCAAAGCGTCTCGAGCTGCGTGGGCAGCGCGGCAAAGAAGGTGCGGAGCGCGGCAGTGGTGTCGGATTGCGCCATGTGCAGCAGGTCCACGCGCCGCAACGATCGCGCCGAGCGCATCCAGCCAGCGACGGCGACGAGATGCGCGTCCGTGTCGCTGTCTTGGCCCATTAACGCGCACGCGACGAGGCGGGCGCCATGCCAGCTGGCCGCGTCTTGCATGCTGGCCTTGGCGACGACGGCGACCTGCGACGCATGCATTCGCAGCGTGTCGACCGCCTGCCACGTATCGAGCGACAGCGGCAGTGGCAGCGCGAGGAGGCGCAGGCCGTCCATAAACACGTGACGGTCCGAGAGCCATGCCGAAGCGCGCAGGCAGGGCCAGAGGTCGGCGACGGGCAGGCGCTGCGCAAGCGCGAGAAAGCTCACGAGCGGCGCGACGAGGCCATCGGCCGGCAAAGCTCGTAGTAGGTTGTGCAGCGTGTATGGGCAGCACGTACAGCGCGCGATCATGGCGACGACGCCGGGTAGCGATGCGACCTGCGCGGCTGCTGTCATCCTGCGTCAAGACCGATTACCGTATGACGGTGCCTATAGCCGAGTTTGAGTATGGTATGTCTCTTAGCAAAACCGATCCTTTATAAGAAACCATGTGCGTAAAAAGTATCGGTTATTCGAAATCGATAACGGATACATGGCCAGAACGGCCTGTCTGCACTACTTTACGAAGCTGGTTGGCGCCGAAGCGCGGCCACCTTGTCCGCAAACGTCAGTTGTGCAATGTCCTGGGTCGTCCATGACAGCGACGGAACGACGCAAACCGGCGACACCGCGCGCAGTGCGTCCATGACCTCGGTGTAAAACGCTTTGCACGCGACCGAATTGGCATACTCCTCAATCTCGGCCGTCGTAAAATTGTCGTGGAGCATGAGCTCGTCCGGACGAAGACCGAATTGGGTTGCGCAGGCGTGGCTATGGGCGCGGCGAAAGGTCGGAGCGAGGGCGCCGGCCAGCGTGCCGTCCGCACAGTCGGCGATCAGCGACGTTCGGTCGGTCGCCGCTGCCACGCACCACATAAGCGGCAAAAGAAACCAGCACCCATGCACCATCCTCTCAATAGTATCGCGCCGAATGTAAAGTGCTTGTCCGATAAAAGCTGCCGTCGAGGCAGTCGCGTGTAAAAGCTCACCCCGCCTTTCCCCTAACCCGCAGCGGGGTAGGGTATAGCACCGAGAGCACTGTACGCGAATCGACCGCGGGCACATCAACAGGTCCCTTGCGGGGTGAGCTGGTAGGAACTTTTGGATGCGAAGCGTTGTTTCCCAGTATTTGCGACGACGGCGCGTTTTCACATTCGCACCTAATCGGAGAGTTGCGCGAATTTCAGTCAAGTGCGCCAACGAACTTAATCGAAATTGTTTTACTTTAATGAAGTATAACGTCCGGCGATGTGCCAGCACTTAACAGGAATTTTTATTTCGCACTTAACAGGACACATTTGGTGCGATATGATTGGCTGAGACCAATGAAACGCAGTTTCATTGGTCAAAATGTCCTTATATATAGCCAATGGGTTGGCCGGATTGAGACACGACACGCCGAATTAATCCCCTGGGATGCTGGTACACCACGTAAACGTTCCTACCAGGATAATGATACTGTTGCAGAGGCCACGTGATGTCGGACGACAGTCGAGCTTGTGAGTACGCATGCTCTGCATCCAGCTCTGTCATTTCCCAAAGCGCGCCGCCCGGACGATGTGTAGCTCCTTGTCGACGCGAGCCCGGGCGGCAAGATAGATAGATAGATAGATAGATAGATAGATAGATAGATAGATAGATAGATAGATAGATAGATAGATAGATAGATAGATAGATAGATAGATAGATAGATAGATAGATAGATAGATAGATAGATAGATCAAATGCATTCCATGTTAGCGTTGCCACTAGATGAGGAGGAAGCTGCCGTTTTCGCCATTGGACCGCGTGGTGTGTCGTCGACCATCGAGTGCCGACCCGTTCTCGGACCGCTTCCGAGACACCTAGTCCAAACGTACTAGGATAACCGAGACAAGATGACGATATTGTACCGCGCGGGCGTCTAAATCCGAGCCAAACAGCTCCAGCGCGCGGTGTGTATCAAAGGTTGCTGTCGTGCGGGGCCCGTCCAGCGTGCGGAAATGGACGCTTGGCGCGGCCTCGGTCGCCTCCATTTTGCGCACGAGCTCCGCAAAGACAGAGTTGGGTGCCATTAGCAGCTCGTGGTACGTGCCCTCTTGAATGACCGCGCCGCTTTGCATGACGAGAATCTTGTCGGCGTTGCGTGCGGTCGAGAGGCGGTGCGTGACCGAGACGATCTGTTCAAAACCCCTCAGCATTCAAGAATCCGAAATTCAACGCAACATTGTACCGTCATGTGTAGCTGCTTGGCGAGCTTCTCCAGCGTCTGCACAATGCTGGCTTCGGTCTCGGGGTCCAGCGCGCTCGTGGCTTCATCCAGCAAGAGCAGGCTATCAACATTGTATTAATCTTTCAACTTTGAAAAGACGAGAATACCTCGGCTGCCGCACCAGCGCGCGAGCAAGACAGATGCGCTGGAGTTGGCCGCCACTGAGGTTGACAACCGCGTGCTGGCCAATGATCGTGTCGTAGCCGTCCTTGAGACCGTTTACAAAGACATGACACTCGGCCAGCTTGGCGGCTTCCAAGCACGCTTCACGGGTCGCCCCGTCCCGGCCATACCTATCCACATCCATTGTATGAGCTATCAACACGCACGAGACAACAAGCATACGCAATATTGTCGAGGATCGAGCCGTTGAGGATCCCGCCGTCCTGAAACACGACCGCGGTCTGGTTACTGAAGCTCGCTTTCGAGTAGGACGCAATCGAGAGCCCATCCACACAGATCGTGCCCTCGCTCGGCGTGTAAAACTGCATGAGGCAGGCGAGGAGCGTGCTCTTGCCGCAGCCACTCGGGCCCACGATGCACGTGTACTCGCCCTAGCACATGGGATAGGCTGCAATGGCCGCAAGGAAGACAGCGTCGTCTACCTTGTGAAAGGTTGCGTGCACATGCCGGAGCACGTACTCGGGTGCATTCGCATCGTAGCGAAAGCACACGTCGGTCACCGTCATGCTATGTGTCATGCGCGGTAGCGCCGGCTTGTTGGCGTCGTCGGCGTCGCTGGCGGCGGCCGTCACAGCCGCCTACGCGTTGTTTACAATGAAAAATGCAAGAAAAATATACACCTCAAAAACAACGTACATTGCGTACGATCTCGTCGATGCGCTGGAGACTCGACGCGTTGCCAATGGCCACGCGCATAAAGCCGCCGAGGACCGTGACCGGCGTCGAGATGCGGTTGAGCATGGTGACGCACGAGAAGAAATCGCCCGACGTGATGTCGCCGTGGAACACCTTGATCACGAGGCATGCAGTCATGATCTGGACAAAGATGAACATGCCCGACTCGATGTAGATCTGGACGACGCCGCTCCAAAAGTCTTTAGCGAATTGCGCGCGCCGGAGCCCGCCAAGGTGGGCGCCAAATTTGGTCAAAAGCGGGTCCTGAATGTGGTACGCGCGCACCACTTTATGGCACGCAACCGCGTTCTGAAACTCGGCCGCTGCGTACGCACTCTGCGAGCCAAACTGCTGCGACTTGCGCGCTAGACAGGTGTGGGAGGGGTAGGGTAGGGGTAGGGGTGCAGTACCCGCGAGGCCTTGGGGCCCGGACGTGACGATGATGGCCGAGAAGGCAAACGACATGGCGCCGATCGTTGGCTCCGAGTACATGAGGTAAACAAAGCCGACGACAATCGATACGATCGGGTTCATGAGATTCTACAAACATGCAGACATGTTGTCAGAAAATCGCCAAAAAGGCAAAAAAAAGCAAAAAAAGTCGGATAAATAACGAAAACATCGACCACATACCCAAAACACGGCTTGCCACATGGCGTTGACGCGCGCAATGTCCGACTGGAAGAGGTTGTTGAGGTCGCCGTCGGACCGGGCGGCGAAAAACTCTGTTGGCTGCCGCAAGAGCACGTCAAAGAGCGTGTCTTGCAGTCGCTTGGTCGCATTCGCAATCATTTTCGATTGGAAATACCCTACGCGCACCACTGAGTCCAGCGAGAAAGAGAGAGGTTGGAGGTACCCATGGCGTAATCCGCGACGACAAACGGGATGCTAATCCCTAGGATGCCAATGACACCTTCCAAAAGGCTATGCCACGGCACAAAAGGCAGGTCCACGAGCGTGCCGTTATCGTTGGACGTTTGGTTTTTCCACTTGAAGCTCGCATGGACGCTGAGACCTTGGTCCAGTCCAAAGTCGTCAAAGTTGTGGAGCGCGTAGACCCAGACGCTGGCGGGAAACCCTTGGTCCGTGCACAGCTTCAAAAAATACGCGAGCAACGGCAAGATCGACGCCGACACGAGCACAACGAACGTCGTGAGCGCCAAGTCCACCGACTGCGTCGACCAGTGCTGCAACGTCGACCGCACCACGTCGTAGGCGCCATACGCCGACCCACCAAAGCGGGCATCAATGTCGCGAAGATGGCTCAGAAAAGCCGAAGCGGTCATGTGTCGAGGCCGGCACGGCAGCGCCCGCTCGAGAAAGGCCAAGAGCTCGGCGCGCGTCATGTCGCCGTCGTCGCGGCCGCACACGATGCGCAGCTCCGTGTCGAGCTGCTCGATCGCGACCTATCTCCATCACCAAAAAATGTCAGAAAAGCTCATAAAATAGTGAAAAATCGACAAGATGCTACCGCGGTGATGCTGGGCACGTGGCGAAGCGCGGCTTTGACGGACGCGATCGAGATGGCCATGCTACAGCTGTACTTGCTAATGGTGTGGAGCTTCTTGGAAAACATGCGCGCGCGGGGCTTGAGCACAATCCGGGCCGCCAGCAGGACCGTGTACGCCGCGTCAAAGTACATCTCGACCTGGTTGGACACAAACTTGGTGTTGGTCTCAAACGTGGTGGTCCAGCCGTTGGCGACAATCTTGAGCGTGCTGAGGTCGTCGGCAAAGACATACCTACGGCGTCTGCTTGCACCAAAGAATGCCATGCGAGAGGACGACCTACCGAAGGGCCAAGCCGACGCCGAGCAAGAGAAAAGCGATCGTATCCGCCATGAGAAAGCCCGAGCGCGTCATCGCACCGCGCAGCGCGACGAGCCGCAAGAGCATATCGATAGCGTAGACCGCCATGCACGCGGCGGACACGAGGCGCGTCGAGTGCGCATACTGGATGAACGAGTCTTTGGACGTAAAGGAGACGGCAATGCAGTTGCACAGAAAGTCGAGTGCGAGCACACCCATGAGGCTATAGTGCCACCGCCGGTGGTCCACCACGCGCAGCGTCCCAAAGCGCATGGACCGTGGCAGTACTGGCGGCGCGTCCAGGATCGGCGTCACGTGGTGCTCCGAGAGCGGTGTGAGGCCCTCCATCGGCATGCTGGCCATGGGCGTCGACGAGATCGGCGTCGTGTGCTGCGGTACCATCCTGTTCAGTTGCCAGAATGCGGCCGCCGTCCAAAGGTGCGTCACTGCCGATCGTTTCTTTTCAGGGGATTGTGATTTTCACATGCCAATCAATGGTGCGCCATCGCTATGCACTTGTTGTTGGTATGAAGAGGTGTGTGTGGTTTTATTTTACACGCGCGTAGTGATGTGAAAAAGACGGTACCAATGTGGATGTGCCACTGTCGATTTCGAAAAGGGGATCTTCGAGTGCGTCTTCGATTGACAGTTTAGGGTTCGTTGCGCGTTCGTCGCCTGTCGAGAAACGACAATCCGCCATGCTAGCGTGACCTTGGTTATGTACCTCCTTTATGCTGCTGCGGCAGGTTGCTTGTCGTTGCGACGTGGGTGGAAAGCTACGCACTTGGTCGGTCGCGGTCAAGAGGCTACTTTTGGGTTGAAGTATCTGGCAACATGTTTCGTTTCTGCATCAACGATGGACATGACGTGGGCTGCAAGAGTCGCGTAAGCTCATCCTACCGGTAGATCGACGACGTCCGAAAGCTCTGGGCGCCTTGGCTGCATCGCAGTACATCGGGAAATCATGCGAGATGGCGTGCACGTCGAAAAATGGCATGTCCTTCGAACTTCGATGTGGCGGGTTGCAATGCAGTCGCCAAACAACCAGTATCCCTGACGCCAGCTCGCCTATCACCAGCAGAACGCCATACCGGCGTGGACTCTCACGGCTTGCGCGATCAGTGTCGTGACCGCCTTCTCTCTCAAATCAACCGTCGACCGCCTACAACCGCTGAACGTATCATCTTAACTGCCCGTGCATGTCGTGGCTTCGCAATTCGCCATGATCTATCGCTGGCGACGACGCCACTTGATCCGAATTGGTGGATTACACCCGGTGGTCGTGCAGAGTCGCCTGCCACACACCAGGCCCAATGCTGGACCGAACGGCAGAGACACCGGAGATCGAGCGTGATCGGACCGGTGGTGCCAAGGCGATGGACGTTCTCATGCCGACGGTTGTCGCCTCTCAGATGATGGCAAGCTCGCTTGATGGCGCCTCGTCACCGCCACACAACACATCTATCTACTCGTTTCATAGCTAGAAAAGGGTCCCACAAAGGTCTTCGAGCTTCGTTACGCGAACAAAAGTGGTTCTGGACGAGTCTCTGTGTGGACATCGTGCATGCAGTGGGTAGCAGAGCAATCGCGGTACCAGTGCTCTTGCACATCCATGCGGCGGTACCGACACTCGACCTCCATTGTCCATGCGAATAGAAAAGATTTATGTTCACCCTTGAGCGGCGGGCCTCACCGAGTTGGCACTCGACAAGGTCGGAGCCTTTCTTTCTCTTGTGCCGTCCACGGTCGCTCGAGCCTTCACCAAACCCTCCTCACGCGTCGCTTGGACGTGGCTTGAGCTCTGAATCGTTGTGGCAATGAAGCGTCGACGGTGTGTACTCTACCAGGACGAGTCCAAGACGTGGAAGAATTTTTTGTGCAGAACGACGAGCCACCGAAAAGTCTGTCCAAGGAATTTAAGAAGACAAGAGATAGCAGCCAAGGCACGGACGAGCATCGTGTCTTTTACACGTAGCCTCGCGATACAATGCGATCCCGAACACGCCACGCCTGAAGCTGGCATGCACCACGATACTCTGGCTTGCCTAAACGTGTGTCGAGCGTGCTCGGAGTTGAAGCAACGAAAAACCGAAGAAGGCGCGACACGATCGAATCCGTTTTAGCCCAAAGAGGGTACTACGCAGCAGTACAAAGCCATTAAATACGTGGGTGCGATGCTCTACGCGTCCCAGAAGAGCACGTCGACGGCCAAGCGCAGGGCGAGCAGCGCAACGAGCGCGCCGTCGATCGACACCGACGACGCGCCGTCAAAATAGATGCGATATTGGGAGTAGTCGTCGGTGCTATTGTTGCGCATCGTCGGTACGACATGGCCTGGAATGGAACTGTTGGCGTCCGGCCCATG